AGAAAATCCTTGTTCATTTGAAGTATTTTTCCCCATATAAAATAAGTGTTCACTGTAAATATGATGAGTTTCACGCTGTAGTCATCCGCCTCCATACTGAACATCAATACTTTGATAGTTTCTTCAGACTTGCAAAGACATCTTACTAGTGATATGGACAGCAAGTATATAATCTAGTTCATCAGCAGTCAGGTGAATGATTCCAACTTATTAGTTTCAATGACAAATAATTGTAGCAATCATTTCTGAACACACTCCATATAATGCAGCACAATTAATGCTGCATTTACAGAAATCGAGAGTTCTGAATGGTCATTATCCACAGATGTTCATCATCTATCGGAAATATTCACTGAAAACAATTCTGTGCATTAATCAAATCATCTCGCTAACCGAAATAATTTTAATCCAATCCTGAAGGTAGGATGGAAGAAAATTATAACAAGCAAAATAAATACACGATGTGTGCGTACATATTCATTGGTCAAATTCTTAGTAAAGCTAGTGGAAATTTCAAGTGCTACTGTTCTACTGGATAACGCAAGAGAATTGAACAAATTAAACTACTTGTGAAATGCTAAAAGACTAAGTATTCTCAGCGTAACTCCCACAGCGTTGGTGGGACTGCTCAAAATGCCTTCATGAGAGATCCGGAGAAAATGTGACTGTGAACACTCTGATTGAGCATGTGAAGAGAGAGAGACTGGGCAAATTATCTACCTTTTGAACTAATAGTGATTCTATACATATGTAAAGCAAAAACGGGATCCATAATTCTCTACACAAGATATGATGCAACCCATAACAATGACCTGTAGCATTAATTGTGTTTCCAAAGAAGGAGTATTTAACTGACGGGAAGAATAGATTACTTACTAGGTTGAAAATTAACACCACTGTTGACCATCGTTATTGCAGGAGGTCTGGAAGGAAGGAAGTAAAGGTACTTGGCGATTGATGGGAAGAAGGGATGTCTTGTCAAACTTCTGAAGAAAAGTGACCTAAGTCTTTGCAAGAAGTGGCGTGGAATCATGCTCCTGTCCACCTCAAGCAAAGTAATAGGCCGCATCATCCTGGAGAGGCTAAAGGATGCACTGGATTCAAACTACGACGGGAACAGGCTGGCTGGCAGGCTTCAGGAAGTAGAAATCATGTGCGGATCAAATTGCAACGCTTCGCATCATCATAGAAAAGAGTATAGAATGGTAGTCAACTCAACTCTACCTCAAATTCATCGACTTCCAGAAGGCTTTTGACAGTGTCGACGAGAAGTAATTTATCAACTGCTTCAACACTATGGAATACTACAAACGTTTATCAGCCTCATTCAACAACTATAAGAAGACGCCATATGCCAGCCAAGTGATTCACAATGGGAAGCTCAGTGATGCCTTTGAAGTGAAGACAAGAGACAGGAGTAAGACATGGCTGTCTACTATCACTGATGATTGTGCTGATTGTAGTGGACTGGATCATGCAGCAAACCGTGAGGAGCGGAAGGGGAAATACGCTGGACCGGAGAAAAGATCCTAGAACACTTGAATTTCGCCTACGATGACGATTTATGTCTAATGTCTTGTCACACAAACTTGAAGATCTACAGGCGCAAACTAACAAGTTGACAGAAGAGGTAGGACAGAGAAGAAACTTGAAGGAAGTAACCTCCTTCAATTACACCTACCTAGGCAGCACTGTTTCAACTACAGGTGGCGGCACGGACGAGGATGTCAAAGTCAGGATCGGAAAAGCAAGAGAGGCGTTCATTAGCCTGGAACCAGTGTGGAGGTATTCTGCACTCAGCATATGGAACAGGATCTGGATTTTCAATACCAATGCCAGTGAAGTCAGTGCTTCTATATGGCTCAGAGATTTGGCGTGTTACGAAAGGGATTTCCAACAAACTACAGATATTCATCATCAACTGTCTACACTGGCTCGTTACTGAAGCTCAGGTGGCCAGAATGATAAGAATAAGCAACAAGGAACTCTGGTTGTCTGGCTGGTGGGAACGAACCAACCGAGAAGCTGTCGCTCAATGAATATGCAGTGGAAGGAAGTGGAGATGGATTTGGCATGCACTGAGAAGACCGAATGTGGACATCACGCACTAGACCAAGTGGTCGAGTGGAACCCAGATAGGGAGGCGACGAGTTGGGCATCTGAGGTGAGGGTGACATGAAGGAGATCGTGCGAGGAAGAACTGAGAGCTTGTGGGCTGTCGTGGAACTAGGTTGAAAAGTATGCAGAGGAGAGAGTGGAATGGAGACGTGCTACTGATGCCCTATATTCTATAGGGAACCCAAGGGATAAATAATAGAATAATAATGATAATTGACCATCGTGTCGGCAAATAGGTTTCCGATAGGAGTCATTTAATGAATCTGCTACTTCATTTCATCGTGGTTTACAGGTGAAGTAAACGGTTGACAATTTCCACTTTCTAGTTCACGAGCAAATCAATTTCATAGACTGCTCGGTAATCATGTGAATAAATCTGCAACTGCTTCAGCAGTCACTCATATGATTAACATTAGTTTCAGTTGCTTGAGAAGCCTTCTGAGAATGAGTGCAGGTCCACCTCAGTTGTCTTACGTCTTCATCGATTAGAAAACCATTCTCAAGATATGCATAATCTACACATACAGTGATTAGTTAATTGCAATCACATGTTTTTACCTCTAGAAAGCTCTGATCAATGCAACCACAGGCACACAGACAAAACAATAAATACTTGTAAGCTGTTCAGCTTGAAAAATTGTTATACCACAGTGTTGTAATTGCTGACTTCTGACAGCGAAAACCTCTCCATGGGAGCATCTATTCTGCGGCTTGAATACTACAATTCGGTATTCTACCAGACTGTATCCCTCACAGTTCTCCTCATGTTCATGGATCACTCATTATCGAAATTGACTAGGAATACTTGTTCTTGAGTAAGTGATTTGCTCATTGTGTTACGCGTGCAGTGTCATCAAACTGACTATGTATTCACTGTCTGTGGTGAATAGAACCACCACTACTAATCTTGTAGAAGAACACAGTAAGTATCTGTCTAGTTTTATATTCATGGCAGAGTAAAATTATGTGTCGTGAGAGATTTGTAATCAGAGATGTTTCTCATCCGGTGTGGCTGATATGCTAGTGGCGTGATAGTTATAAGTGACCAATTGTTTCGTGATTGAAGTTGTATTCAGTGAGTACACTCAGTTCTTCATTGTCTCAAGCATGCTCGATCTCAGTCACTAATCTACAATACTACAATACTTTGTCTTGCAACTTATTATATTTTCAAAAGTGAACTATCTCCATGCCATAAATAATTTGATTGATATTTCACTTATTATTGTGATTGCAGAAACCTGCATGATTTCAACTCACTATCTGTTGTATTAATAAGGACGTAGGTCATCCCTATTGCATTCAAACGTCGTCTATAGCCTTAACAAAACATCTCATTTTATTGTTGTCTCCAAGTGATTTTTGAGTGTTAATCATTTCTGAATTATCTGAACTCAATTTGTGTCTCGATTCCTGGCCCCTATCTATTTTGGCTTGTGTTGTGTCATGAATATGTCGTCAGGTACGGAGAATATTCACCTGAAGAGGATCACTGAAATAACTGTGAATTTATGAAATCCCACCTCTTCTAACCTTCATTATTTCGTTTCAACAAAAAGCCATCTGGATGAACTGATTATTCATGAGTACTTTAAACGCCCTACAGCCTTTTTGGTAATGGTGAAAATGAATATTGTGCTGCTTAGCACTGAGCATACTATCACTCGATTCACCGGCCCTCTTCAGCACACAAGCATTCAACGTATGTGGAACAAGTAACTTGTTGTCCTATGACATCTGGTTTAACAGAGCTGAGAAATTCCTGTTCAGGGGTGATTCGAATTATTTTGCGGTGTAGTTTCGCCTAATTATTGAATTCGTTGGTGAAGGAGGAAGAGGAAGTTGGACAAGGAATGAAAGACTAAACGAATTGCAATCATTTCCATTTTAAAAAAATCCTTATTACTTCCACCAGTGTCAGCTAGAAATATCCACATCTTGAATAGTTTCTCCATCCTCCTAGTGGTTAGAACGTCTTCTCGCACTCAAACTCACAGGCCGTTCATCGGCTTGAATTCTGTTAACAAGTGTTTTCCATGACTGTAGGATGTTAACTGTTTCACAGACACTTTCCATTGTTTAACTTCGTATCAAGGAAGTATCTAGAATGCTCAGCCACTGTACTTGTTTGCTTTCTAAGTTGCAACTACATCTTCATGACAATGCATGTTTCCAATCAACATGTACTTTCTTCAATCAATCACTGCTTCATTCATCACAACGTTCAGATGACTTTGCAGAATACCCAGCAACTGCATACAACCTAGTCATCGCTGTAACAAGTTTCAATATCATGCGGAGCAAGAATGACACCATTGAGCATAATTCAACACTAAATGACCAGTTGGTTGTCTTCGTTTGTTTGGACGGTAATTTCTGCTCTAAAGTAATGCTTGCACATACATTTCCATCTTGGCTAGTGTCTACGCACTATGGACGGATGGGACCACAAGTTTAACGGCACACTTCCGACTGACTGTATCACTCAGATATAGAAGAGACATTGAGATATGAAATACTTATTGGAAGTAAAAGCATTGCAAAATGATATACTAGAGTTCTTCATGGAACTTATTACTTCAGTATAACACAGGTAGAATGAGAGTTCTGTTCACAAAATGTCCAAATTACTCACATTTGGTATAGAAACAACGTACAGTACAACTGGCTGCACGACATGCAAAATATTTCAGTCATCAGAAAGGCGGCAAACTAAATGGTAAATTACTCTTCCAATCACTGCTGGATTAGGTTGACATTAGAAAGATACGAACACTGACTAATCGGCAGCTTCTGTTGTGAAGTGCCTTATGATTGGCCAGATTGTCGTCAACCAAATATTTGTCATAAGGTGATTTGTCAGTTTGCTGATCGATCCAATTAGTTGTTCACATTTGTTATCCGAGGCTAAAAGTATATAATGCAGCACAGATGATTTTTTTGAATAGCAAACTATGAGTGAGACGGTTGGTCGATGGAATAAGTCATGTGTCATATGCAAGCGGTTGGATGGGAAGGTGGTAATCGTTACAGGATCTAGTACTGGAATTGGTCTGTGCACAGCCGGTGAGTTAGCACGTCGTGGTGCAACAGTTATTATGGCCTGTCGTAATATGGAGAAAGCTGAGTCGGCAAGGAAACGACTTCTGGAAAAATATAGTGTGAGCAATCCCAACTGTGTGAAGACTGATGTGGCGAGTGATAAGGTGATCTCATCATTAACTCCCATCACGGCTAATCAGGTATGTGAAGTTCACAGATATGCTCCTACTTGGTATTATTTGAGAATGTTGCACGACGAAAAGAAGTCCTAATTTCTCGCTATGTCCACATCATTTGAAATGCCTGATCACGTCTACTATCACATCTACAACTTATGGAGGCTGAAGTTTTTAAGAGACTGCGTCCACCTTTTGTAGTAGGGTGGTGCTTGATTGAGTTGCGACTGTCCACTGGTACTGTGGCATGATGGTGTGGTATCCCAATAAACTGTGAGGTATTAGACTCGGCGGATATTGTCTCCGGTTAACACCTGGATGTATGTGGAAGTGCTGAACACGGAAGAAGAGTTTCTCTTCTCATTCTTTAGTGAAGAGGCACAGCCTACGACTTTATCTAATTATTTCGTTTGTGATTTTCGATACAAATCAGTAAACGATATGACTTTGTGTTCAAGATAGGGGGAAGTGGGTTCACTCTTCACACCTCCTTGGAGTGCAGCTGCACTTATGCTGTTGTTTAGAGACGAAGAATTATTCATGTCTCGTTGCTGATTAATCATGCTAATACTCTGTGCTCTTGCAAACATACCAAGTGATTGCATCCAGATACCTTTATTGTCTACACTTTGGTGTAAGCAGAGGAGTTCTGAGAGTATTATGGCATATTGAAAACTTGAACTGGTCATTTATTCAGTCACTCGTGTTTGTCTATACACGCCGAATGGTGAGCCAGTCCATCAAGTTATTGAGGAGGTTTTTTCATATCTGCGCTATCGAGTATGATTGCAAGTGTGTGCACATGATCAGTGTTGGAAATGCTCAGACCTTAGCTGTTTTCATGAACATTTATCACCTCATGTTTTTGTCATTGACTGTCCAGTCTCAGAAAGCATATTATGAGTTGAGATAACTGGCTTCAAACAGGACTATCTTGACATTTTCGGTGAAACTGTGTAGGTTTACTGTAGAACACCCTCCATCCATAGCAAAATGACTTCCGTTTTTTTCGACAAGTAAATGGCATTGCTGGGTGCAGAAACCGTCAGTCACGTGATGGTTTCCTTCTCATAGGTGATCACAGATATCCACAATGTAGTAAACTTCTTGTACAGTGTAATCATACCTCCGAATGGATCAAACCATACTAGAGATACATTACATAAAAATGATAAAGTACAAGTTGTATTTCCAAATATGATCGATGGAGTGTCATCTGATAAGCTTCGACTCCTTTGTAACAGACACTACTCAGAATCTTAGCCATACTGATGTGAAATATCGACAAGGAATAATTGAGTCAGTGATTCGAAGTCACACACTATCTCCGACGAGAGTGAAGATGGAGGCTTTTCCATTGTACAGTAAAGTGAGTGTAATTGCAACTGCCCTTCATAATCTTAATATGACCAATTTCATGATTCTATGTGAAACAAAACCGTCATCGAAGCACAAAGTGAGGTAAGACATGAGTAGTGACCACCCGCCTCTGTAGTTTCTTGTTCTTTGCGGTATTACAACTTGTTCGACGAAAACTTCCGAATTGCTTTCACAAGATAGATGTCTAACTGGTTGGTAGTACTTGAAATAATCTACTGAGTGTGTCTTTTTTGCTATACATCACCGACTCACCTTCGTCAAATAATTCAGCGATGTTTGCTCGTTTATTGCAAAAACTCATTCCCACTGAATTCAGTGAATCTCAATAGACACAAAATGAAATGTTGTTAATAATCGTTAAACCTTTTCCATTTCAGCTAATCATTGAACAACTCGATTTAGCTTCACTGAAATCAGTCAAAGGATTTGCGATCAGGATTAACAGTCAATACACACAACTGCATTACCTGATCAATAACGCTGGAATTTTGTCATCCAAATACAAAAAGACAGAAGATGGCTTCGAAATGACAATGGGAGTAAATTATTTCGGTCACTTTCTACTCACCGAGTTGCTTCTGCCGTTACTGAAAGCCTCTGCACCATCGAGAATAATAAATGTCTCATCTATGGGTCATTATTATGGTCGAATATACAAACCAGATTTACAGAGTAGTGAGGGTGGTTTTTCTGTATATTGTGCCTCTAAATTGGCGAATGTCCTACATGCGTATGAACTGAACAAGCGTTTGGAAGGTACAGGTGTAGTTGCAGTCAGTCTGCATCCAGGAACTGTGAATACTGAACTTCAAAGGGATTATTCTTCTTTTGCTGTGGTATGTTAAAAAATTTCACCTTTCACTCTCATGAAGATAACTTCTCGCCAAGTAATGTTATTATTGTCATTGGAATTCAATTGACCTTTCATAGTGATATGTAGAAACAGGAATTATTGTGTGAAGGTTCAAGGGAATGAGTTTATAGGTTGTTACTTACCCTTAATATTGATGCTGAAAATGTTTATGGCTCTTACGACCTTCGCCGCCTAAGTACTATGTACTGTTACAGACTCATTATTTTGATAAACTCATTTACTGAAATATGTTCCAAGATTGATTTCACGTAGACAAAAAGGGAAGTGAAGTTTGTTATGGAAAGCAGCATGTCATTTATATATTTGTAGAAGTAGAGGTTAGATTTCAAATCGATCTTCCTCAGATATACAGGTAATTTACCTAATTTACACTAAATGAGCTGTGCCATTAGCTGGTTAGAATTTATCATTTCTTCGTTCACTGAGACCAATTAAAATGTGGAATATTTATTATTATTATTGTTAGTCCCTTGGGTTCGTAGTGGAACATAGGGCTTCAGTAGCACGTCTCCAGTGAACTCTGTTCTCTGAGATCTTTTGAAGCTGGCTCCACGACAGCCCACAAGCTCTCATTTCTTTCTCGCACGACCTCCTCCATGTCACCCTCGGACGTCCAACTCGTCGCTTCCCATGGAGATTCCACTCGAGGGCCTGACGCGTGATGTCCTCAGTCGGCCTTCTCAGTGCATGGCCAATCCATCTCCACTTCTTCCTGTATATTTGTTGCGTGATAGGTTCTTGGTTGGTTCGTTCCCAGAGCAAAATGTGGAATATATTCGGGCTTTTATTTAGAATTAAGCAAAAGATTTGCTTTCATCTCATCTGAAGGGCGATAATAATAATAATAATATTATTATCAATATATTATTTATTTTCTGTGTTCGTATTGGGTCATACAGATTCAGTAGCACGCCTCCATTTCACTCTCTTCTCTGCAGTCTTTTCAACCTCCTCCCACGACTGCCCACAAGCTTTCATTTCATCCTGGCATGATCTCCTATATGTCACCCTCACCTTGCATTCTCAACTCGTCGTTTCCCATTTACCTACCACTGGAGGACCTGGCCTGGAGCGTGATGTCCCCAATCGGCCTTATCAGTGTATTTCCCGAATGCAATCCATCTCCAGTTACTTCTGCATATTTGTAGGGCGATGGGTTCTTGGTTCGCTCATTACCCGGCCATCGATTTTGTTGCTTATTCTTATCATTCTGGCCATCTGATCTTCAGTGTCAGTATCGAGTGAGCGTAGGCGGCAGCTGTTGATGATGTATGCCTGCAGTTTGTAGGAAATGGTTTTCGTGACACACCAAGTTTCTGACTTACTTCACTAATATAGTGTTGAAAATCCCGATCTTGTTCACGCCTCATGCTGAGTACAGTGGATCTCCACACCAATTTCAGATTAACGAAGGCCTGTCTCGCTGTCTTTCCCATCCTGGTATTGACATCCTCATCTTTGCCTGTACCGCCTGTAGTTGAAACGATGCTGCTCTGCCTAGGTAGGAATGTGAAAGTGACTACTTCCTTTAAATTTCTCTCGTTGATGTTGATTGGCTCACGTTGTTGTTGTTGTTGGCTGGGCATCTTCATCACCTCTGTCTTCTCTACGTTCACGTGGAGGAAGACCCGTCTTCACTGTCATACCATTCCTCATTCAACTGGCAGATACCATTCCTTACTTCCTTCCTTGCAAAACGTCTCCAATGGAGGTGTGAGCATGTCCACTGTTAACTCTGTGTCTGTTTTCAGTGTTTCTGGTGGAATTCTGTCTGATCCTCCTACTTTCCCACATTTCGGCCACTTTATATGTCCAAGACTTTCAATTTTGTTAGAGTGCATGTGTTCACTGGTAGTTCTACCGTTGACGGTGGTATTTCTGGACGAAGTGAAGGTGACAATGGTGGTGGTGGTCGATTCAAGAGATTTTGAAGTGGTCAGGTCATTGTTTCCTTTGTTTCTCCTCTTTCCTATCTAGCTTTCCTTCACTTTCTCCCACTGATTTTATTGCGTTGATCTCTTTCCAGATAGCAAGTAACCTGGTTATTTGATATAATGTAGTCAGGTCTCTCTCTCTGTCTCTCACCTTCGTGCAGCCTGTTATGCTTAGCTTGCCAATGTGTCGTAGAAGTGTCTTTTGTCTTTCCGCACACTCTTCTTCACTTCTTTCTCCAGTGTAGTGTTTTATACGTTGTACTCAGCTCCACGTTTCTTTGACTACCCCTGCACTGCTCAACGTCTCCCATCTTTCCATGATGGCTGATGTGAAGACGTCCTTTGTAGTTCCGTCCTTCAGTTCACTTTCTGTTCTGGGTGTTGAACTTCAACTGTGGTCAGTCAACAACCTCTTTGAAGGTTTTCAAATTGATTTGGAAGGTTCCTCACAATACATGATGAGTGATAGGAACACACACCTGCTCCTCTTCGTGATCTGATCTTGTGTCCAGGAGGCTGCGTCTCCACTTTCTTCAGATTGTAATCAAGTTGATCTGATTTTTGGTGTGTCCTGGTGTCTGGTGAAATCAAATCCATGTCGCTGACTTCTGAATATCCTTGTGTTTGTACACACTGCCTGACTCCATTCACCAAATCGTTGAATGTCCAGAAGTCTGCAAACAGTTCTCCATTCTCCTTCTTCATTTCACCAAGTGCCTATCGACACATGATGAGTTCTCTTCCTGTGTTGTCTGCTCCCTCCCAGTTTGGCATTCATCTCACCCCAACAATTAGAATTGTGATGTTGCCAACTGGAGTGTTGTATAGTACTGATTGCGGCCATCTGTAGAATTCCTCCTTCTTCTCTTCATCTGCATCATTTGTAGGTACGTAGTGTAGCATTGTATGATTGTGACTTTCCTGCATTTCGACTTGAATCTTGCTGTCATGATCCTGATGCTGTAGGAGGAGATTGGTTCTGATTGCACGAGACAGAGCCTTCGATGCTTTTCAAGGAAGGGGACATCATGATAGCCACTGGAAAACTGAGTGTGCTGTGCTCGTGGTTGTCGTCTGGGTGACAATATCGGAGTAGATTATTGATTCTCCAGTTGACAGTTTGGAGAGTCCACTTCCAATCAATTTGCTTTCTTAGATTCCTAGCACTTCTATGTTATACCCTCTCATCTCTTTTGCAACCAGGGAAGCCTTGTCAGGCAGCTTCAAACATTGTTCAGACATTCCATGTCCCCATGTTTACTTTTGCTTTCATCGAGAGGAGCGAAGACACTCTGGCCAATCGACTTTCCGATGGCTTTCACAGACTGACGTCATTTCGTTCCTCCGATTCCAGTGAGGAATAAGGTTATTTTTATTTTTTATATTTTCTTTGTGCTTTGAAGTTTCTTTAGAGATTGGATTGGTTTTTCGGGGTAGGATTGCTAGCAGCATGCTCAACTTTCCCTCTTTATCCGGATTTAGAACCGGCTAGTAACTAGTGAACCACTTAACTAGGCGATGCGGTAATATGAACAAGTTAATCTCCTCAAATCTGCGCAAACTATCATATATATATATATATATATATATATATATATATATATATATATATATATATGGAGACAGAAAAGTTTGCTACTTTGGTTTATTTGAATGTTTATGGGTGAATTTTTACTTCAGATTTGAAAATGCTTCCATTTACTGATTTCAGTGAAATTTGAAGTTCATATGTGGTAACTGGAAGTCATTTCTTTTACATTACCATATTTTCTATTTTTTGGCATATCATACTGTTAGGACAGTGTATCCAGAGATTATCAATAAAGCTGATAAGTTTCCAAGCTTGGTATCACGATAACGTCTGACTAATCTTCACATCAGTTATAAATGTAAATGAGTCTATCTGTGGTTAATTAAAGTAGCGAATTGTGCCTCTGGACTGACTGAATTATGCCAATTACTACAAAAGTGATACCTGCACTTTTTCCAGATACATCCATTGATATACAAGTTAGTTAAAAGTAGCCTGTTTATTGAGGCTTGGCCTATCCAGTAAATGATAAAACATTGATAACATTGGCACCAGTGCTACCTGATAAAAGCGTTTATCTGGAAGTACAATTATTCAGAAAAGTAACTTTAAAGACAAATGAAAACAATTAGTAGATCACTGAGCTGAAAATGTATTGAATGGAGCAAGTTTTGCCGCAGTATTAACATGGGTTGTAGATATCATTCAATTATAGCCGTTATAATTGTGGTCATCAAAGTGACTCAATATGTGAAACGAATGAACTCAGTTTTTGGCTTATAGCAGAATATGCAGATTGGATTATTAACTTTTCATCATTGTAACAGTCTTATTAATACAAACTAGTGATTTCTCATTTTTCAGAATCTGTTCAAACCATTATCGAAACCGTTTTTCGTTACTCCATGGAAAGGTGCACAAACAACGATATACACAGTGTTGACAGATAACTTAGTCCCAGGTGGTTATTATACAAATTGCACCCTGAAAAGACCTTCGAGTAAAGTGAAAGATGATTCAGAAAGGAAATGGTTTTGGAATCGGACATGTGAACTGCTAAGTATCGAATGTAATGGATGAAGCAGTTGAATTTATCACCTGTAGTTGGTCAGTCGCTTGACAGTGATTATGAAGGAATGAAATATTGTAACCATTGTACTTCTAAACACTGGTGACATTTTGATTCAATTTCTGTAAAATTAACGTGTGACCTTCTTATATTTGTTATCTGGATGTTATATTTGTCTTGGTGACTAGCAGTGGGATTCAGGACGTGCATTTCGTCCTTCCTGAGATTTGAGGACTGAGCGTACCAGCATCCCATTAAGTGATGTTTTTACTACTGAGACTCCAGCCCAGCACTCATAGCTTTAAACCCTAAAGCGTTATTCACTAGACCAGTGGGGCACGCTAGCCACCTCTTGTGCACCGGGTGTCAGTTAATGTTTTGATACTCGCAATACCCCGTTCTCCAAGTGATCATTCTTCCACATTCACTGCTGACAGAATACTTAAAAATGGCATGACTGATAGAGATTTTATTGTTGGTTGGTTGAAGGAGATAGACAGGGAGGTTTTCTATACCCATGTTTCGTGCTTGTTAGCAGTTCTAAGTAATATTCAGTCAGAGATTCTAACCTACGTCACTTAATACTATATTCAGATACTTCACACTGAGCAACTCACACACTATGATAGTGAGTCTCCAAACGTGATGGCCAAATTGCGAAGTGACTGACAGAATGCATTCAGTACTTAGAGCGAGATAATATGAAATTGATAATTCATCGGTGACCAGTAAAACCATCAAATTTACTTCTTTGTGTTAAACTGAGGAGGAATTTCTATTCACCAAAGGGGTATAAAATGCACTACAAGCTTAAATCTTTTCACAGGTGATGAGTGTATCATCGAGATATTAAATGTAGAAATGTAGCTGACTAATGAACGAACCACACATTATTGCTATTAATTTGACAACTGAAGTATATACTGATACGAAAGCTTCTACAAACTTCACAGGGAATTGATTATTCTGTGGGTAGAGTGTGTTATGAAATCTGAAGCGTGCATTGAAGTTGAATCTATAGTACAGTTTTTCAAATATTCTTTTAGTACATTGATATTCACTGTGCTTGATGAAATGAAGTCACATATGACATGTTATATTACATTGCGAAATGTTCAGATGACTGTGTCATTACAATATTTACCAATGATCATGAAGTAAATAGACGGCTCTGGTTATGTCGAATTCCCTCAATACTCTACACGATTAACTGTCTATCAAAAAACATTCACGGGTTATGGTGGAGCTCATGTGGAATAGTTGTCTAGATGATGAATGTTAGTGGTGAATGCATACTAAGAATTTTTTAAACGATGTAGTATAAACTTATTGGACTCACTAAACTCACAGAGAGGAGATGAAAACCTGACTTTTGAAACAACTCAACGTACATGAAATAATTCTTCTCATGGGATTCCACGAAATATTAAAAATCACTTTAGTCTAAAGTATAGATTAGTTCTTATTGCACTCAGCATTCGTAAGAAAAGGTATTATCATACACATTGCATACGCTCCTATCTTCTTGATGTCTTCTGTTGGATTCACCGTACATATGCTTAGCAAAACTGCTAAGAAAATCTTGACTATGCTACATAATTGAATACAGCACTTACAAATAAGCGTATCTTTTAATACAGGTGGACATAATTCAAACATAATCACTCTAATTATGTCATAAACAGAATAAACAATCACATATGACTGATGATCAGGTGACAATATTCCTACTTTTGACTATTTTGGTAATTACTATGTTAGTTTTCTATAGATTATATAATTCATGGCTTACTGTTAATCACTAACTAACAAGTAGTTATAAATAGATAGTTGAAAACAACCTGTAGGAATACTTGAAACTGAAATTCATAGTTGAAATTGTTGATACCCACCATGCCTTCATTCTAGCTTGACTTCTTTAAATATGCATACTGATTTCAGTTTAGGTGGAAACATTTTAAACGTAGTGCACCTCCAACTCTCTGAACATATTTTCACATAAAAATGCAGTTTATATTGCAACAAAAAGTATAATTGGTTGGTTGGAACAAGTAGAATGATTGTGGATGCATGAAATGAGAAAATAAAAGAAAAGATTATTTAAATTTATTGTCACATCTTGAAGATTACTAAATGAAGCAAAACATCTGGACGCAATTCAAATCAGGACATACCGAAAAATCATCAAACAGTAACTAATATGATACTGTCCAATTATCATTCTGTAGTTTCATTTTTCTACCTACTTTACCTCGATATCAATATGCTTATGCATATTTTGGACAGTGGAATTCATGAAACGACGATATGTGCCTGTTCGCTGATCCTTATCAAGAGAACACATCCTCATCCTTGATGAGACGTGTAATCTCACAGTAGACGGAAGTGAGACTAAATGCTTTAATAGTAAGAAGTACTTCACCTGAAGCATTTTGATGATAATTAATCATCTTTAGATGGCCCTGTTTCGACTGGATATCTGGACAGAAATTTTCTCCTAACAAATGGAAAAGGGAATTTTGTAGATGTCAACATCGAAACTTGGCCGGTTGCAAGTCAGTAAGTCGGGCATTGAGTCGATGGTTTAGAAACGAAATGCGATGCTTGGATCTCAGCAAGGTATGAAACTGAATTTCTGAGGTTATTTTTGCCAACCACTTCTTCAGTGAATGATGTCTGTGCAAGTTCAAGCATGTTTGAATGGTAAATGAAACAAATCAGATTATAGGTGTTTATACATACACTAAATAAACATTAAGATGCGATTAAATGTTATCGTTATTGACCGATCATCAGTGGAATCAGTATAGAGGTGATTCGTAAAGGTCTGTCAGGAGAAGATAGGAAGAAATCTCACTGACAAGTTTTATGCCTAGAATATTTATTGAACACCTAGGATAAGCATCACACTACTAAGTCTCAATGGTCGAAAGGAAAGACTTTTTTGTACCACACTTAGTAGCTACCAGACTTGTAAAATAACCAGTGATTTTTTTACATCTCTGACTATCCCTGGACAAAAGATTCTCAATTTTCTGTGTCAACTCCTTCCATGGATCTCAGCAGCGTGGAAGTGGTATTCAAGTGATTGATCATTCTTTATGGCACATTAAACTATATCTTCTTTGTACAGCGGCGTTTATTCTATCACTAAGCCCATCAGTATGGAAGTGAACCCAAGAATAGCATGTATGCACAATCACTTCATTTTGTTGATTCAAGGCAAGTGGTAGAAAGTTTAAGACTAAAATGCTGCATCTGTTTGCACACGTCAGTAAGGCATATCTATAATATCGCGAGAAATTATACTTCTGTTGGAATTTGAATCGGAATTACCCTGTGTTGTAGTCAGGAATGCTTCGGTCTAGCTATGGTTGATAGAGTGTGGTCATCAATTCGAACTGGATTATGTAGAATTGATTACATACTTGTTAACAAATAGCGTGCAACTTCCAAGTCTATATGAAGGCAGTTACCACTTAACAGCTTGATGATAATGCTTCTGGCTGCTAAAATAAGTGATATAGGCTTGAAAATCTAATGAAATATCAGTATCCTTGAGTTTTTAGATGTATCTTGAAATGAAGGCTAAGAACTACTTAAGGATGATTTTCTATTGCTTCGAACCATTTGGCTCACCTAATAGTTTGATCAGTATAGTCTAAAACAGTAAAGACATGCGTGTTGATTTATCAGCTAGCTAAAAATTTTAGTACGGTTTTCATTCTATCTCATTTCTCAATCTCTTCTATAACTCCATACAAAAAATAAAAACAAATTTATTCCTTGGTGGAATCGGAGAGGCGAAATTACCCCAGTTGGTAAAAGTCTTCGAGAAACCAGTCGGCCGATTTGTCATCGCTTCTCTCGATGAATGCAAAGTAAGGATGGGGACATGGAATATCCGTACCATGTATAAACCTATCAAGGCTGCCCAGATTGCCAAAGACATGAGGAGGTATGGCATGGAACAGCTTGGAATCTGTGAAAGTAGATGGAATGGAAGGGGACTCTCCAAACTGTTAACTTGAGAGTCAATATTCTATTCCGATATTGTCATCCAGACGACAACCACGAGCACAGCACACTCAGTTTTCCAGTGGCTATCATGATGTCTCCAAGACCATCAAAGTATCTCATGCAGCGGGAACCAGTATCGTCAAGGGTCATGACAGCAAGATTCAACTGGAAAGGCAGGAAAGTCACAATCATACAATGCTACGCTATTCACCTGCAAAAAATGCAGATGAAGAGAAGAAGGAGGAATTCCTCAGACAACTGTAATCAGTAATGGACAAGACTCCAACCTAGATGACGATATCAAACTTCTAATGGGTGACATGAATGCCAAACTGGTAGCGGACAACACCGGAAGAGAACCAATTATGCATCTAGAAGCGTTCGGTGAAATGAATGAGAATGGAGAACTGTTTGCAGAGTTCTGCGCATTCAACGATTTGGTGATTGGAGTTAGGCAGTGTGTATAACCACAAAATTACTCACAAAACGACATGGACATCACCAGGTGGACAAACTAAAAAACAGATAGACCTCATCTCAATGTGAAGAAAGTGAAGACGCAGCCTACTGGACGCAAGATCAGATCAAGAAGAGGAACAGATGTAGGTTCACACCACTCACTATCTAGTGCAAGGAACCTTCCAAATCATGTTGAAAACCTTCAAAGAACTTGGTGATACGCCACAGTTCAAGTTCAACACCAAAAACAGAAAATCAACTGAAGGATGAAACTACATAGGATATCTTCACATCAGTCATCAGAACAAATGGGAGACATTAGGCAACATACCCGAGGAAACCTGTGTGGATGAACACTGAAACTCTTTGGAAGGTATGTGGAAGGAAACCTGCATAACTGTGTTAGGAAGGAAGAAGAGGTAGGAAAAGGAATGCATCTCGGTGGACACATGGAAACTGATAGAGGAGGAAGAGGAGGATGGTGAAGCAGAAGATGATCCGGCGCAAGGATGCACAACGAAAATCGGAACTGACTACATCCTATAAAGCACTACACTGGCCATGGAGTGAAGAAGAGTGTGCGGAAAGACAGAAGACACTTCTACGACACACTTGCAAGTGAAGCATAACAGGCTGCACGTGGGTGAGAGACAGAGAGAGACCTGACTACATTATATCAAATAACCAGGT